GCTCGGCTGATTCCCTGCGTCACCCCTGAAGGCAGACATGTTATCCAGAATAGGCAGTCTCAAGCCCAAGGGGTTGCCAAAATAAGACATATTTGTATGTTTTCTCTTCCTACTGGCCTATCTGTGGATCAGTTTGGCGGGTCTATCAGTGTTTGAAATGTGATTCTATCTTCAGGAATCTATCCCATAAATCACATGATTCTTATAACAGTTGGGTTCATTATGCTTCATCTGTAATAGAAAAAAGTAGAAGCTGCCCATGTCCAAAAGCCAGGAATGCTTAAACAAACACTATTAAAAGGAGTGACGTGGATCTCAGTGCATGAACAAGGAAAGAATATCCACACTACACATCATTTATTAAGGCGTTTTAAAAAGTAAACAGCATTGTCCAATAAGAACAGAGTGCAAACACATAGTAATTTCAGATTTTCTAGTAAAAATATCTTAAAACATAAAAAAGAAATAGGTGAAAGTAATTTTAATACTATACTTTATTTCTCCCAATGTACCCAGAATACTAGTTAAGCATGTAATCAATAGAACATAATTGATGAGATAGTTTACATTACTTTTATAGGTCTTTGAAACCTGGTGTGTATTTTATATCAACAATACATCTCATTTCAGATAAATCACATCTACAAGCACTCAAGAGCCACTTATGACCAGCGGCTGTAATAAGGGACAGTGCAGCGAGATATATGTGTGTATATTTGTGTGTGTGTATATATATATATTTTCCAGGGCCAGTTATATAGTACTGTACAGACATAGGAAACACTTGGAAAGATACACAAGAAATGGTTATAGGGTCCATCTCTTCAGAGTGGGATTGTGGGGAAAGAAGGTGTTCAGAGTTTAGAAACATCTATATTTGAATTTATTACATGAGGATATATCTTGCTTTAACTACTAAAAATAAACAAAAAAAACCTAAAAGTAAAATGTTTATTTTCTTCAATGCAGTAAATCAATGTACAGAAAAATTTATCTTAAGGAAGTAATAACTATACAAACCAACATTTTTGTGGCATTACTCACAATGATAAAAACTAGACTCCACATCATGTCCAACAATAGGAAAATTATTTAATAAATTGTGATACTTTATGATGGATGTTTTGCATAACATGGGAAAAAAATACTCATGACACAATTTTAAAATTCACCAAACAAAAACTAGCCAAATGAATTAGGAAAAATTTATCTTAAGGAAGTAATAACTATACAATCCAACATTTTTGTGGCATTACTCACAATGATATAAACTAGACTCCACAGCATGTCCAACAATAGGAAAATTATTTATTAATAAATTGTGATACTTTATGTTGGATGTTTTTCATAACATGGGAAAATAAATATTCATGACACAATTTTAAAATTCACAAAACAAAAACTAGCCAAATGAATTAGAATAGATATATGTTCAAACAAAAAAAATGTGTAGAAATGTTAATAGTAGCACAATTCATAGTAGCCAAAAAGCATAAACAAAGCAGTGTCCACCAGCTGGTGAGTGGATAAATAAAGGCGGTATATCCATGCATAGAATATTAATCAGCTATGAAAAGGAATGGAATATTGATATAAGCACCACATGGATGAACCTTGAAAACATTTGCTAAATGACAGAAGCCAGACACAAAAGGCCACATATGGTGTGAATCCATTGATATGAAATGTCAGGAATAGGCAAATCCATAGGGACAGAAAGTGGGTTTGTGGTTGCCAGCGGCTGGGAGGAGGCGCGGGGGAGAGGCTTTTCAATGAAAATGTCTTGGAATTAGATGGCGATGATGCTTACACAACATCGTGAGCTCCACAGACTCTTCTACTTTGAAATGGCTAACACGATGGATTTTTCGTTAAGGGAATTTTATCTCACTTTGAAAAAGATGTCTATAGAATAAGATCCCAACTTTATAAAATAAGACTAATGTGTCAAGAATGGTGGTGGGGTTATAAATGCTTTTTAACTTTTTCTGATTTTCTGCAGCACACATGCCCTATATTTTAAATGGAGGGCAATGGAATAAAAGCACTTAGAAAAGAATGGCCTCTCTGGATAAAATCTGTGTGCTTCGGAAACAATGCCCTGTTCTCACTGTATTAGCTACTACACAAAGGGCCGGCCTGTCTAACCTGTGGAGCATGCTCCCACCTATGCAATGTTTAACGGCATTTGCTGCAACCAACAAGCCGTAGGTGCCGCGTAGTAGAGTTGACTCCACACTTTCCTTTTCTGTATCTGTGCATGTTGTAGAGATGGGGTTATCAATTCATCTTTTGAAACAGGGTTGCCCTGATTATGTACCCTAATGTTCAGGGCTCCAGCTTCAGAACTTGGACTCTCTTTGCGCAGGCTGGCTTCCTGCCCTTGGAAGAAATCCTGATGATTTCTGCCACTCCACTGGTAAGATGAGGTGGTAAATGCTTGCTTCACCGGAGTGGAGAAGAGAATGTATTAGATAAGATCTTCAACGCACTAAGAAACGAAAGGGTCCAGAAAAACAAAAGGTTATTCAACCCCTCTGGGGACTCGAATCACTGAAAAGTAGATGGAGGAGGAGAAAGAACTTACATAATGACTCCTCATCACCCAATAAATCAATAAATAAACAGATAGGATCTGGGGGGAAGGGGTTGGAAGGGGGATGTCACTGAGGTTTCTCTTAACCCTTGAATGGGTGGCATTTTTCATAGGCTCACAGGAATGATGGGATCTCGGCTGTGCTTGCTTAGTGATGTTTTGCTTAAATCTCACCTGATGTCTTATTCTTCCAATAACCCCATAGCAGGCAAATGAAAGAAAATTATTAGGATAAGGATAACATTGCACAGGTTTTGGTTGCCCGGAAGACCCCGTGCTTTTAAGATATTTGCTGAGTGGGCCTTAAGTCACTTCAGCTGTCCAGTTTGTTTTGACTGGGGTAGAACTTTGTAGACTGACAGGGAAGGGAGTCCCAGATGTAGGAAGTAAACAAACATGTCATGGGACGAGTTGCAGAGCATGATCCCATCTGTGTTTTGAAAATCTAAAATCTATATGTATCTATGTACCCTCTACCTACCTACCTACCTACCTAGCTGCCTTACCTACCTACCTACCTACCTAGCTGCCTATCATCTCTCTACCTTGGTGAATGGATAGAAAAGGCCCTATTATTACCACTGCTTACCCCTGAGAGTGAGAATGGAGTGTGGATTAGCAAAAGGCAAGGAAGGACTCTCACTTTCTACTTTGCACATTTCTGTACTATTATAAAATGTTAATAAGTTGTTTTGTAACAAAAAATAATAAAAATTACCAATTGTAATCACAACTAACACCCCCCACACACACACCACACACACACACACACACACACACACACACACACACACACAGTCCTCTCCAGCATCTCGCCACATACCTAGAAAGAGTTAACACAGAAAATTCCAGATGTTTGATGAGGACAAATTCCTGATTTGGTCCCTGGGGGTGGGAGGAGGGTTAGAGGTGAGAAGCGCCAAAAAGTGAAAAGGGGAGGAACGCAGAGGATTGGCTGCCCAGCTCTCCACCCAACCAATAGCACAAAAGTTCCAGGTCCAACGCCCACCTGTGGAGGGTATTTCAGGAGACAGGAGTTGCATCGGAGTTCACTGTCACCTGTCAGAGAAGAATTAAGACAGCTTTCTGGTTTGGCTCCCCGGAGGCTGCTTGCTACTCCCTCACTCAGAGGTAAAATTTAAAGCGTCAGCTGTTCTGCTGGTGGGGATGGGGGATGTATGCTTTTTCCTCTGTGGTGTATGGACTTCTTTTTCCACAGGGCAGACATGTGTTTAGAGGATAGTGCTCGATTTTGACAACACTATTAACACGAAATCCCTAACAACATGGAATGAGTCTTCCTGGGTCTTGCTTGCAGAAGGCAAGATACAGTCTGTTGATGTGTTAGGGAGACGTTTTGCTTGGACAGGCACTGCATGGGAAAGAGAAAACACCTATTCTTTGATTGTTTAAGAGTTATCGTGTTATTCCCCCTGTTTCATTGAGAGCCCGATGAAACTTTTATGAGGACGAGGATTGCAAACAGTGAATCTCCCCGTAGATAAGAATTCAACAGAATGCTAACATTACAGAATGGGCTCTTGATTTTCCATCTCAGCCAAAGGTCTTAAAACTCCCCTCATTCATAACACAGCTACTCTTCACGAGAGAGCAGCAAAACAAAGAAAAAGGTTTGAAAAGGGATGTCCAATGAAATCACCCCTATGTTTAGGTCCAAATATAGCCACCCAGGATGGTGCTCTGTGCTTAGTATCTCTGCGACTTCCGTTCCTCTCCCTTCTCCCCGACAGACCTTGCTAGTGATGGACCCATACGTGATCGAGATGAATGACAGTGGCGACCTCCCCTCCGTTCTGGATGTGCATGTCAACGTCGGTGGGAGAAGCTCCACGCCAGGAAAAGCGAAAGGCAGGAAGGCCCGGTGGTCTGTGAAGCCCTCGGACATGTCCAACAACACTTTCAATCCCATCCGGGCCATCGTGGACAGCATGAAGGTGAAGCCAAACCCGGACAAAACCATGATTTCTCTGTCAATTGGTGAGTTGGGGACACTCGACTGAGGGGTGGTCATTGTTCCCCTCTCCCCCATCCTCGTAGGCTGCTGGGAGGAGACGGGAGAGGAAGGTGAGTCTGAGCCCTCGGCGTGGAAGAGTAACCTCTTGGTGGCTTTTCTTTTTCCTCCCATGAAAAGGGGACCCTACTGTGTTTGGAAACCTGCCCACGGACCCAGAGGTTACCCAGGCGATGAAAGATGCCCTGGACTCCGGGAAGTATAACGGCTACGCCCCCTCCATTGGTAAGCTTCTCCTGAGACTCTAAGTGGCTTCTGAATCTTGGGTGCTCTTCCAATAGGAATACATTTCTAACAATTGTCCTTGCTTTCCCGACACACGGTTCCTCAGGAGAGGCTAAGATAAATGGCCACCTGGATTTGGGGAAAAGGGTCTAGGATGCTTAAACACAAGCTTCAAGCTCCAACTTCTTGCCTGGCTTTCTTGGGCGTACTGATACCTCCCTCTAGGCTCCCATCACATACTTCTTTCTCAGATAATGCTCCTATCCCAGCTGTGGGCAAACTATGGATCCGGCTTTGAAATGAATAAAACTTAAAAAAAAAGACCGTACCCTTTTATGTAATGATGTTTACTTTGAATTTATATTAGTTCGCACAAACACTCCATCCATGCTTTTGTTCCGGCCCTCCGGTCTAGTTTAAGAACCCATTGTGGCCCTCGAGTCAAAAAGTTTGCCCTCCCCTGTGACCTATCCTATCATGGCTAATTCTCAAATGAAGGTCTCGAACTTGGCTGCAGCTGCTTGTTTACTGAGCCCTCTGGGTCCTAAGTTAATTGGCTTGACTTTATTTCTCCTCCTCTGTGTATTCAAGACTTATTTTATTTACTAGAGGCCTGGTGCGCGAAATTTGTGCACCAGGGAGTGGGCCTACGCTGTCAGCCAGACACCTTAGTGCTGCCACGGAGGTGGGAGAGGCTGCTGTGGAGGTGGGAGAGACTCCCGCCACTGCCACTGCGCTCGCCAGTCGTGAGCCCAGCTTCTGGCTGAGTGGCACTCTCCCTGTGGGGGCGCACTGACTACCAGGGGGCAGCTCCTGCATTGAGCATCTAGCCCCTGGTGGTCAGTGTGCATCATAGCGAGCAGTTGAGTGGCCTTAGCATATCATTAGCATATTATGCTTTGATTGGTTGAACAGCTAACTGGATGACCAGACACTTATCATATTAGGCTTTTATTATATAAGACTAGAGGCCCAATGCATGAAATTCATGCAAGTGGCTCAGCCCTTGCAGCCATGGCGGCCTGCCTTGGCTCTCGCAGCCCCGGCTTCGTCCAGAAGGTTGTTCGGCTGTCTGGTCTAATTAGCATATTATGCTTTGATTGGTTGAACAGCTAACTGGATGACCAGACACTTATCATATTAGGCTTTTATTATATAGAATGGTCCTGATCACACTCCTAATGAAGTTGTAATTGTTTCATATTAAAGAGGAATAAATACCACCCACACCACCAACAAAGAATAGACTGTCTGCATATTATGCTTTTATTATTATAGATGGTCCTGATCACACTCCTAATGAAGTTGTTATTGTTTCATATTAAAGAGGAATAAATACCACCTACACCACCAACAAAGAATAGACTGTCCTATTGAAGAATAGAGGGTTGTTTCTGACAGAAAGAAATTATTCTTATTTATGTTTAACCCTCTCCATCTATGAAACATTTCTACACTACACATTTTGGTAAAATACGTGATTCCTTGGCTTTGTTTCAGTGTTGCACATTTTTCTCCTGTGTTTATGTGCACATAGAAATGTATTCTTAAGGCAGAATAAAAGTTAAGTTTCATGTTAAAATAGAATTTTAAAAATACTTCAAAGAGTTTTCAGGGCATGATTTTTAGGTTGCTTATTTACATTTTATAAAGCTTCATATAACAAAAATAAAGACAAATTAAGACCAAAAATTAGGTTATAAAAAAAGTTTGTAGTGATTTTTATAACCAAAGCTTAGAGAACTGACTCAACCTGAAAAACCAAAAACAAGTTTTGTAAATATTCAAAGGATATGAGCACTCAGGCCAAAGAAAACACAGATAAGAATAGACAGTATATCTTGGGAAATGCTCTTCCTTATTAGTAATTAAAGAAGTGCTGATATCTGTAACTTCAGGAGATCTTTCTCTACCTTTTAAGTTAACAAACATTGTAAAATATTGCCTCTGTTCCTGCCAATGAAAGGCAATCTCTTTGAAGAGCAGTTTTGCAAAACATGGTCATTTGCATGAAACTGTCTATACTTTCAGCTTATAAGCCAACATTTGGAAGTAATGTATAAGACTATGATTTTAAAGGTAAAAATTGTACAAAAACAGTAATGGGACTGAATGAATCACACTCTTTGATTATAACTTTTCAAGAAATATAGTCCCTGGGTGGGACTAGGGAATAATTGAAATCCTGTATTTTATGGAGAATTAACACATCATCATAGTAACCAAGACGGTGCAGAGTGTCCTACAGTTTGGTGAGCTCTTTCTTGTTATTATTTATATATATGTGCTTATTTCACAAATTTCAAATATAAACTTAATTTTCTTTGTCAACAGCGGCTGAGAGCTAACCTGAGTAGTATGTGCTCTGAGCAGGGGCAAAAGGATGCCTACAGCCCTGTGACTCCGGTAGAGCTGTCAGTCCTGGGATGGAAACTTCCAGCTTCCTCCTTCTGTTCCTTTCTTTCAGGTTACCTGTCCAGCCGGGAAGAGGTCGCGTCCTATTACCACTGTCCCGAGGCACCCCTGGAAGCTAAGGTGAGCCTGAGACAGGGTTCCAGCTCTGAAGCAACACTGGGCAAACTATACCCTTTCCATTGTTTCTGTTCTGCAAATAAAGGTTTCTAGGGGAACAAACGTCGGGGATCATTTCCCTTTAACAACTCGAGGACTTCTTATATAATGAGGACACTAATCAGTGATTACACTTAATGTTGTTACAGTATGATGATGACACTGCATACAATTTATATGGTGTCAATCTCAAGGAGGCTCAAATGACTCAGAGATCATTCTGTGTTTGATTCATAAATACCCAAGAGTTAAAACTTTCAATTTTACCAATAGGATCTTTTTATTCTGGTAATCCTCACTTGAGGATATGTTCCCATTGATTTTTAGGAAGAGTGGCAGAGAGAGGGAAAGACAGAGAGAAACATCGATGTGAGAGAAACACATCGATTGGTTGCCTTCTGCACGAGCTCTGACCAGGGTCCGGGCCTGGGAGGAGCCTGCAACCAAGGTACGTGCCCTTGACCGAAATCGAACCTGGGACCCTTTGGTCCGCAGGCCGACTGAAGTTCTATCCACTGAGCCAAACCAGCTAAGGCCCAATAGGATCCTTTTAAAGCTTCCCTCATTCACTTTAGGTCCCTCAAATAGGAAGACTGAGCTCCCATGACATATTGATTTGATGGCAGTGCCAAGTTTAAATACCACCCTCACCTCTATGGTTTACCCTTCACCTACATTTCAGAGGAGAGCTAGGCTTCACATCTCTGGTCAAAAGTAAATAAATAACCAGGTGAAAATACCCGAGGTTATAATGACCACTCCTGGAAGTTGGCTGAATCAGAGTTGACCTGTCCTTTTTTTTAAAAAATGATTTGTTTACTTCTTTTAAGTGGCCAGCATTTTAAACAATCTTTAGATCAGCGGTTCTCAACCTGTGGGTCACGACCCCTTTGGGGACCGAATGACCCTTTCACAGGGGTCGCCTAAGACCATCGGAAAAACACATATATAATTACATATTGTTTTTGTGATTAATCGCTATGCTTTCATTATGTTCAATTTGTAACAATGAAAATACATCCTGCATATCAGATATTTACATGACAATTCATAATAGTAGCAAAATTACAGTTATGAAGTAGCAACGAAAATAATTTTATGGTTGTGGGTCAGCACAACATGAGGATCTGTATTAAAGGGTCGCGGCGTTAGGAAGGTTGAGAACCACTGCTTTAGATAAAGACATATATATAAGGCTGTTAAATTCTTTCTGGCTTAGTACAATCCCTACTCCTTTATTTAGAATTTGTAAACGTCAGTTTATCTTTGTCCCCCACACACACATCTGACAATTTCCTTTCTCCTGTTGCTGGTGGAACTGCTAACAAAATGAATCTTTTATTTTTTTTCTTCACAGGATGTCATTCTGACAAGTGGCTGCAGTCAGGCTATTGAACTTTGTTTAGCCGTGTTGGCCAACCCAGGGCAAAACATCCTCGTTCCGAGACCCGGCTTCTCTCTCTACAGGACTTTGGCTGAATCTATGGGGATTGAGGTCAAACTCTACAACTTATTGGTAAATGACTTTTTAATTTTAGACACAAGTGCTCAATTACTACTAATGTTAGCAGGAAAAGATCTGGAAGTGGGTGGTTGAAACCACAGACACATTTTATTATTTATATTACACCACTGGTTTAAATGAGTTTTCTCCGGTCAATGCTCAACCACTGAGCAACACTGGCCAGCCTCAGAATCATCTTAACCTCACCCTTTCTTCCTCCCCAGCCAGAGAAGTCTTGGGAAATTGACCTGAAACAATTGGAATCTCTGATTGATGAAAAGACAGCTTGTCTCATTGTCAATAACCCATCAAACCCCTGTGGGTCAGTGTTCAGCAGAAGTCATCTTCAGAAGATTCTGGCCGGTGAGTCCAGCAGGGGAGAAGATGAGGATGCAATCCTTTAGTCATTGATCCAAATGAGAAAAGAGTCGGTCACTATGGAGTCCGTTCCAAGCCTAGGATGGAGGTTGGGGCGCTCCACTAGGGTTTCTAGTGTGCCATTGGAATGGTAGGACTTGCTTAAAAGAAGGAGAAAGAGAGGAAATACTTGATACATCACCACTACCATCATGTGGAAGAAAGGGTCTGAAATATCTAGTTAATTAAATGGCAAATTTAGGCCTTGTACCCTGCAAGAATATGTACCCATTTAGTTCTTAGTGAGCAAGACAAAGTACAACAACATGAAAAGCAAAGTACAAAAGCTCAGATAAATAATAAATATACAGGCAATTCACATTACTGATTTCTGCATGTTTCTTTTATTTCAGTGGCTGCAAGGCAGTGTGTCCCCATCTTAGCTGATGAGATCTATGGAGACATGGTGAGTCTTGGGCCGGAAATCTCACTGCAATAATCTCCATTCCAAATTATTTCGTTGGGCCTTCAGAGGTGGCATCCAAATCATCAGAAGCAACTCCTAGTCACTTCAGTACCGCCAATCAAGATCCCTGTACTCTTCACAGATACATAGATCTATCTATGACTCCTCAGCCAGTGTCTGAAATCCAGAAAAGCTATGAAAAGCCAAAGATTTTTTGCAATTCATTTGGTGGCAAACCCTGACTTGGCTGATATAAAGATATTTGTAGATTTCTATTTTTCTCACTTATGGATCTATATGAGCGTAGGGGAAGGGGCAGAGGCGTTAATATGCTTGATTAGGAGTGCTATCCCAGAGTGCTCTGGGACTGTTACCTAATAGGTGGTGGCACGTGCAATATAACCTTTCTAAAATCCAAATAATTCTGCAACATATCTGGGCCCAGGGATTTCAGCTAAGTGTCTGTGGACCCGCATTATATTTCTAAACCTATAGCTCCAAAAGCCATGCCTTCTCTAGAACTGGCTTCAAGGGGCTGTCCATACTTCAGGGCTAGGGCCAGTTTCCTCACTTTAGGCTTCCTTTAATCCAGACCAGACACCAGGTTCAATGTCTTTGGAGAGCCCCCTTGGGAGCCCCTTGGGGTCCCAATCATGCTTCAGCGTAGGCATGAGCCCCCAAATCCCAGTGATCTGAGGAAAAGGGGAGGAGGCATGGGATTTGGAGGAGAGTAAGCCAGAAGA